TGTCTTTTCTCGGCTCCTCATCCACTGTTCGCGGAAGGTTTAGGTTGCCGTTCGTGTTTATCGTCGTTTGCGTGTGTTGTGTGGGCGCGTTGGCGCTTGCCATGCAGAATGTCTGTGTTGGGAGGCGCTTCTGCAAGAGAGTAGCACAAACGGCATATGGTTTCATAACCTGCCGCCTGAGCCGCATTGCAGGGTCCGCTGACTTAGAGCCATTGGGCGCGATGGTCCGGACAACAACGGCTCACGCGGGGATGACGACTCTTCCGACTGCTTCCTTCCGGGCAACTACGAGATGAATATTGAATCGCGGCGCCGCGTCTATTTTATTTATTTCGGCTCAGGAGAGCCGCGGCGCCGTGCAATGGCAAGTAGCCCATACAGTGAAGGCCCGCAGTGCCACGTCCAACGATAAGATAATATTGCACAGATGTATAAAAAAAAAATGGTGGTGATGGTTTCAATGGAGCTTGTGAACGAGGGTGAGGGATTGATGTTGCCGATGAAGAGGGTGAAATATCTTAGGCCTAGCAGCAGTCAGCGCGACGGTGTTCGTGAAGGGGCCGCCATGGACTGCTTACTTCTTGCAGGTGGCTCTCGAGCGCCTGGCGAGGGCTCCCTGCTTTTGCGGCTTGCAGAGAGGCCGGCCGAAGTTCTGGTGAGGCAGGGAGCTCAGCATCCCCGTGGTTGGTTACCGGGGGTTGGTGCCGGCGTTGGCCGAGCGTCGGTCTTCGCGAAAGCGGGCCCTGATGTCTCCCAGGCCACAGGGGAGCTTTTAACTAGTGATGGGTTGAACACTTGCCGCATAAATATTCGGCGCTGTATATTAGGATTTGGCGAAGCCGAATTTTTGCCTAACTTTTTTTAAAAAGTCGGCAAAGATTTGGGAAAAAGATACTGTCTCCAGACCTAAAAGTCTATATTTTGTTTTTCCGGGCAAAAAAAAAAAAAAAGGAGTTTTTTTTTTTAAATGAATATTGACACAGTTACTAAATAAGGTGATATTCTACAATATAATTGTATCGGTGTCATTTTTGTGTTTACGGTCAATTTTAGTGACATTCTTCATAAATGTGACAACGAGGTTGGGGGGTAGCGGGGTAGCGGGCGCTGTCATGATACGCGAGTTTCGGTTTTGAGGCCTCATCAGAGCAAGCCTGATTTATGTGCATTATGGAAATAATGGCGGTAACACTGTATTCTTACTTCCTCTGCGAGTCACCGTTTTTGCGAGAAAACAGGAAGTTTTAATATAGCGTATCTCCGCTTCGACGCAAAAGCCCAGGCGTCTCGCGATCGCGATGCCACCAAGATACAGGCTCATTTTTTGTTTCACACACAAAATGCTGTAATTTGAGAAAGAAAAATAACAAGATTTAGGTCTAGAGTAACATTTAAGAATTGTTTATACATGAGAATGCGACGCGAGCGGTCGACCGGTCGACCAGTCGCGTCCGCTTGCGTTGCCTCGGCAAGAGGTGTCTCGTGCCAAAAAATGTTTGTGCGTCGCTAGCGTTAAGTTGCCAGTGATCGTTGTCCACCTTATCGGGTTTTCCAAGCCGAGTGCAATGTCGTCCCATATTGAAAATCGCAGTCGCGAGGATGCCGCCGACGTCACCATCACGCCGCCGGCACAGCGGCCGCAGCCATGATCCTGGGAGTCGCCATTTTTTTTTAACTGTGCTCGTCTTGGCTTCCGCCAATTTCTTATCACAAATCCTCCTTGGAGGAGCGCAGAGACTCTTTGCGTGCGCAAAAAAGTTCTGAAAAATGGCATAAGCTAATATTGCCGCTCGCAAGGCTGAGAAAGCAACGCTCGGTCACGGTCCTCCAGAAAGTTCCCGTTTATTCATGTACCGCACGTAACTTCTACCATTTATCCCTGCTTTTGTTCAAAATGTCACGGGTGGTGACCAAACAAAAACAGGAAATAAACAGAAAGAAATAAACGTTTAATGTGGCGAACTTGTGCCAAAAAAATAAAGAAGGAAACAGAAGAAAGCAGAGCGTCGCGGGCGTCGAAGTCGGCGTGTCAGCAGAATCGAGCGCTAGGGCGAGACTGACTCGACAAGGTCGCGGGCGGCCTCTTATCTAGAGTGCGCCGCTATCTCGAAGATTCGGCGAAGGCGGTTCGAGCGTCGCGTGATCGGGGCGAGAATGAACACGCACTTTCTAGAAAACAAAAGCAGGGATAAATGGTAGAAGTTACGTGCGGTACATGAATAAACGGGAACTTTCTGGAGGACCGTGACCGAGCGTTGCTTTCTCAGCCTTGCGAGCGGCAATATTATTGCAATTTGAGACTAAAATCAGTAAGAAAATTAAAGAAAATCGGAGGAGTATTAAAAATATTTACTAAAGTAACATTTACGGACGCCATTTACAATGTATCAACTTTATTCATTTTTCTTGATATATTGTGCGCATGGAATCCCAACAAATAATGTTTAGTTCTAATAACGTTAGTTTTGTTTTCCTCTAATATCTGCAATTCTATCTATCTTTAAGAGAGAAAATGAAATCTAACTACGATTTGCACTTTAATTGAATCGCGAGACATAACTTGTAAATATTTATATATTTAGTGTTTCATACAGTTTTTATATATAATATTTAAAACAATAAAATGGAAAGTTTTGCTTTTCTTAAAGGCATTGAAGGGACATCATATTCAACGAAAGAAATATTTTTTTTATAAACAGTTGAAATGGGGAAGGATGTCATAATATGAATTTAGAGGGGGGGAATAAATTAGATCTATGCTTATGTCGCGAAACGAATTCAGTTCGCCTCTAGTCACGTGGTCGACCTGTGCGCCCCCGCGCTGCATCGAAGGCCGCCGCAAGTAAAGCAATAGCTGAGGTCTCCAGAACTCCCACGCCGACGCCGCACGCTGAGCTTGAAAAGCTGCTGGCTGAACGCGTTTCTCCACGACGTCGCTAAAAGGCAACAAACACTCCCGCGTGCTGCAGCCGTCAATTTCTGACCAGCGCACCGGTCGATCAATTGGTGCTTGCGCTCATTCTGAATCTTCGTTTGGGCTCAAAAAATTACTTGTTCATCTTCGTTCTTTTTTGCACTTCTAACGAAGATCAATACGTAACTTTTAAAGGCCATAGAAAGTTCCCGAAAGAGCTCAAGCGCCACGTGATTAAAGCGGCCACTCTTTTGCGGTTTCCCGCGGGCGCCAACTACAATTTTTTTGGGCGCTGTAAATAGAGCTCCTAATTTTGTTTTCGTTGTGAACTTATTTTATTATATTCTTTCTTCCTCCAGGATTTTTAAATATGCAGTTTTCCTTTTGCATATGTCCTCTAAAGTGTTGTGTTTACGTTTTTGGTATGAGAACAGTGAGGGTCATGTATGTGCATCCAACAAACGTTACAGTAAATCACACACAAACATTTTGCTATGTTTTCACAGTGTAATTTAACACAAACGTGCAGCTAGACATTGTTTTGGTTGTGTGACAATATAAAAGGAAAATCTTTTTGTTATTTTTAAACTTTTGAATAAAAAAGGATCAGATTCCTATTGCTAAGTACGATGCTGCCATTTTCAAGGTAAAAGTGAAAAATGCCCTGCGGTCCAGTGAGGCGTTTTATTGGGCCCCACAAAAACCAGAGCCACGCCATAATTATATTTATATATATGTTTAATTTTATTGACAATCGTTCCGGAACACTTGAATTTTTTTTTCCGCATTGGTATGAAAACTTTTAAGGCTACACTGATTTGTAGAAACATGACGCCTTTCTGTACGATTTTATGAAGAAACGTTTAGTTTTTGATATTCTAAAAAAAAAAGTAAAATCATCACTTGCTGCAATTGCATGGTAAATTATTCTGTTGGAAATTGCCATACTAAGTTTTGTGATATATCTAAACTGAGTTGGTCAACATCACGTATAGACAGCGATGCCAACACCGCAGCTCTCGCGTGTAACCTGAATGAAAGCCTCGTTTAATGGTGTTTCGTAGCCTTCAATTGACATGTTTATGTCAGTTGGCTATTTAAAAATTGAGTAATGTCAGAACTAAAGTAGGTTATGTGGTATCGTGTTTTTTTTAAAATATTGTTTGGTATTTGTTTGTTGAATACAACTTTGTGTTTTGACAAAAATGATATTTTATAACAGCGTTCGCTCATTTCCTATAAAACCACAGAATGTCTTAACTAAGCTGACGGTCAGTCAGCCGTCAAATGTAAATGTGTTAAAAGTCAATAAATGACTTAGCGTCTTTACGAAGTTGCATATCGTATAATGGTTGATTGATTGAAGCGTTCATTTGAAAGACCACGCCTCTGGCTTGCGGGCCTCATGTGGCCCACATGAGGCCAGACAAGAACAAAAACCATATTGTATAATGGTTTTTGTTCTTTATGTGACAAGTCGCTGTGATAGTGCAGGTTAGCTGGGAAGTATTACCGAAGGAATGTTTGCCATTACTTAGGTATTTCTCTTTCTGATTTATGCAGACTCGAGACAAATGCAGTTAGCTTGCTGTCTACCCCGTAGTCATTATAACCCAAGCTTTGAGCTCTGATGTCTCCTCGCGCTCTTTGTCTCCTCTTCCTCTCTCTCTTTTTTCACCATATTTTTCTACTCGCACCTTTTCCGTTCTAATATAATTGTTTTCAGCTGTCCGAGTTTCCAAACATCTGATTTGTTTCACTTTACAAGCGTTCCGTCTTTGTCCCAAATCATATAACACGAAACACGCGTGAACTCCCCTGGGGGATTCTTAAATAAAATAAACCCTTCTGAAAAGCCTCCGGAGTAAAAATTTGCAACTGTTTCGTCGAGTACGAATCTAAAAACGTATCAGAACATCGGTGTAAATATTATGAATTCTTACGACGGAATAAGTCCAGGGCCGTTACCGTTAAAATTAATTATCCTCGTCAAAAATTTGAGTTGCTGCAATGCTCGCTTGTCTATCTCCACATTTTTTTATTGGGTATAAGCGTGCCAAAAGTTTAATTTAAGATATAATGCTCACTAACGATTTGGTCCTTTGGGAGCTGGCGATGGCCCAAACATGTAAAGATTTTCGCCATAAGGATTGTTCGATCGGTGTTGCATCATGTCTTGAGCAGCGTTTGTTTCTGCCCAATCTTGAGCCCACAAGTTTATCTGTGAGGGAGACAGAACCATAAATCATGATGAACGAAAAATATTCTAAGCATTGACATCCCCAAGCATTCTATAGGATATAAGCAGAGGATTTAGGGCCCTAACTTGCTTAATATTGCCGAATTATGAGCTAAATGAAAGACATTATAGCGGTAGATATTTTACTTAAATTGAATTCATAGAGTCCACACATTTAACTATAAAAATAATATATACATATAAACTGCTATCAGTATCTAAGTTCTACCAATAAAATTATTTGTGTCAATGAGGGAGCAAGACAATAGAAAATATATCGTTGAGAAAAAAAATGCACGTACACACGTTTTTTACCTTATTCCCTTTTTTGACGCTTCAGAACAAAACGCAAAGAAAGCAACAAAAAGTTTCATTCGACATGGTAACCCCAGTTTGGCATTGTGCCAAAATATAGACGCCAATCGCTAGAGCTAATAGTGTTACCACAAAGACCGGTTTAGAAAGGAAGCGCATGGCTGGTATTGCAAAAATTCTGCGCGGATCGGCAGTAGTGTTAGCGCCTGTTGCGGCTGCATTATGAGCACAAACTGGAAAAGACCGGGCGACATGCAAAAAGATGCTGATATAGCACCCAGTGAGCGCTGCGTTTATAGCACTGAGATAGCCGAGTTGTTTGTGTGAACATGCCTTAAAGGGTAACTGCAAAGAAAAAGAATTTTAAGCAGCCTAATTGGGTCAAGCATGTAAAAAAACAATTTTTCCGCAAGAAAAAAACAATTACAGCAATATTTATTGCGTGCGACCGATTTTAGTTTGCGGCTATTTCGTCAGTTTTGAATCGCGCGCCACGAAGTTGGTATTCCGTGACGTTGAATACCAATCGGCTGCTATACTTCTCATTGGCTAAGAGTTTGATTGACAGCTTAGTTCTTGGTTGTTAAACCTTTGTTATATGTTGCAATTTTCTTTTGAAAGGCATATTTTTACGTTTAAAAAATAACCCATGTGATGAGAGTTATTAATCTTTACAAAATGTTTACAAGACGGGCACTTCCGTTTGCATTTATACCACAACAAACAAAAGCTTCGCCATTCTTTCATGGCCGCCGAAATCTCTGCTCCAGCCTGTCTCGCCTACCTCGACTAATCGTTTCGTCGAAATGATAAGTGTTTCGTACTGACCCAGGTGCTTGAGTGAGACTTCTTGAAGTGAAGTTGTGTGTGTTTAGCAGCTGTCGCAGGTGTTAGTGATAGGAAGCGACGCGCGGTTTTGACTTTCATCGCGCGGTTCTTTCGTTTTCCTCTTTGCTGGCTTAGCGTGCTTTTTTTCTTGTTTGTTTGTTTGCTTGCGCGTACATTTACCGACTTTTCGGAAATGTCAGATGAGTGATCCCGACAGCGAGCCTTCCAGCAGCCATTTCGCCCCGAAAGGAATGCTATTGGCTGGAGGCAATCGGGCGTTCGCGTAGCGACAAACGTGTCCAGTTGCGTTCTCGTCATATCGCTCTGGAGGCCGTCGAGATTCGCCCAGTGTGCACCTAACATCCGCGACTAGACCCAAAATAAAAAAGCACTATGTTCACTACGTAAAAAGTGGTCTCAGTTCATGCATCTGTAGGCAGGTACGAAATTGTGCCCAAATTTATTCACACCGCACGATGCAACATGTTGCTGGGCAAACACAGTCCAACACGAAGCATAAAAACGACAGATTTACGACAACAATTCGGAGTCTATTGTTCAATTAAAATGACGTAATTTTGTTGAAAACGCCCGCAGCTTTTTACTCACGGTATGCGTCGGGAAACTTCCACACTTTGAAACAGAACGAGGCAGCTTTACTTTTAAAAACGCTCGCTGCGTCCTCCCGGACCAGTTTGACTGGATCAGCTGACGACGACGGGACTGAACTGGTTGAACGTCAACCCCACGACAACCAATTTGCGCTCCGTGTTAGCACCGCATTATACACACCACGAACGTTTCAGCTCTTTGTCGGATCGCCGTGTTGCACCAAACAGAACGAGATCGCCGAAACCAACGCAGCGCTGTCGTGAACCTTGGCTTGTGGTTGCGCACTCGTGAATTTCGTAACTCCCTTCGCTTTCAAAGCACGCACGACGATTACGGATGATACTTTCCATCTTCCAGAAACATCACAGGGGCACCTCTCCGGTCACGTCTTCGCTACATATGCTCGCAAACCGCGTCAAACCAAAGCCGCCGTGCGTTATTACCAGATCTTGCCGGAAGTCGAGAGGTTGCGTCGTTCAACTCCGCAACGCAAGGAGAGTGAGGGGCGGGGCGTACTCCTCTTCCGCGGTGGTCGAAGGAGCGGGAGTTTCAAATGTGGAGAGGTTCTGACTCCGACTAAATTACGTCCTGTGGCAAAAATATTGACAAAAAAAATATTTTTTTTTCGCGGAACATTTGTTTTGTGACATGCTCGTCCCAATTAGGCTGTTAAAAAAATACTTTTTTTTCCTTTTCAGTTACCCTTTAACAACAACAAAACACAGCTAACAAAAGATAAAAACACTTTGCTCCTCTTCCGCAGACATTTGAAATGAACTTGGTTTTGTAATGTGGGCGGGAATATTAGAAAAGTTACTTTTGTCAACAAATACAGTATAAAACGTCAGAAAACGTACTGTATGTACAGTTATTCGTCTCCTGTTTTATAGCGACAGCATGTTAGTTGGAATCTCCCAGGGGAAACTGCATGAATGTCCTCCGCGAAAACACCCGAGAACGTCATCAATCACATTATCGCTCCCCGCCACCGCACCTGAGGCTTCAAGGTGCGCCGGCTGCTGAATTTATAAGAAAACAAAAATTTCGTCACTCCAGCCGGATTCACACCAGCGACTTATGAACGAAAGCAATTGTTTCTGCTACAATCAACCGCTCGACCAACTAAGCTACAAAACAACAACAAAAACTATTGTCGAAGGAACACATTTTAGTGAATTAAAGGGTGCATACATTCAGTTTCTGTGTATTTTCGGTGACGCTTGTCTGTCTCGTTAGCCTCGAGCGTCCACACAGAGCCCAAGCACAGCTAAGGCCAATGGGCGCGTGCTGAAGGCTTGGCGTTCAAGGGACACCCCCTGCCAACCTAACCTTGGCAGTGACTGCACATTAACACGTTGTTGTTGTTTGTACCTGTAAGACGTAGCTGTAGAGAGATGTCACAGAGGAGATGACAAAAGGCATGAACGCCTGACTGGGCCATGCCACCCTTTTGGCAGCAACGGTAGGAAGAACATGAAGCACATAGGAACTGATACAATTTCACTCCAAACTAAAACTCCATAAAAAACAAAACAAATACATCACAGAACAACGTAGCATGAAAAGACATTTGCTGGTTATCAATCATCCTACGCATTTTGCTTAAAACACGTTCATTTCTATTCTTCTGTGAGTAAATTTTTGTTTGGACTATGTTTTATAGAGTGATTGTACGCAATCCAATGTACCTAAAAGTTACAGGTTCTGGTTTAAATGGTTTGGTATAAAAAAACTCAACCTCTCTCTCCAGAATTCGTTCACGAACACGATGGTGGTAATTTATGTCGCCTTAAATCATACGGCTTATGTTTCTCGTGGTACTTTGCATGGAACGACAATTTATCGAGCTGAAATTGACGCCAAATTTCAAGTGACAGTTTGTATTTATGTAGATCTCTTCCGTTGAGCGTTTGGTATGTTCTAAATTATGGTGTGGCACTTTTAAGAAGTTGTACGTTACCAGTTGGTCGGAATTCTCTCTCATTTATGGATAAAATACTGTCTGTATTTTTTTTTGGTATGTAGTTGACCACACTGAAAGGCAGTTGTTAATGCGGGAGTGCAGGAGGGTGAAATAAATTTGCCATTTCAGGTTCGTTAGAAGGTAATATCATAATATATTTAAAATGCCAATAGCTTGACAAGGACTTTAAATACTCGGTATGTGGCGTCCATGATAGGTTTTCATGGAATCGAACCCCGAAGAATCGAATGATTGAAAATGCTTGAGTGTAAGAGTCCTGGAACTCTAACTGAAAATGGGAAGGTGGTATCTTTCCTTTTGGTCTAAACAGTTAGTACAGTGTTTTTTTACGTTTAAATATGGTTTATTAGAACTTACTCATAAGTCTTATCCTCGCGACCACTGTTTTGCCCTTGCAAGTAGGTTGTAGATGTCTAAGCCAGAATATAAAATGTTTGTTGCTGCAGCATATAGGACTATATTTGAACTGCCATGCATATTTACAATGACGTTTATGCATAACAAACATAACATGGGACCAATAATAAACCCCTGAGGAACCCCTTGATCTAGGTTCTAAACGTTTGACGTTAATCCATTTATTGCTGTATATTGCGTTCTCATTGTGAGGTAACTTTTAAGCAGCGATAAGGCAATACCGCGTATTCCGGAGAACAAAAGTTTCTGTAAAAGCCTGTCATGTTGGACGCAATCAAAAGCCTTTTTTTTTGTTTTTTGTACGAAGCGTGTATATGCTTTGTTTTATGTTCTCCAGAATTTTTTTTTGAATTCCAAGAAGTGCAACTTCTCTTGATTTTTTTTTTCTGAAAACCAAATCGTTCTTTTACTACAATGTTTTTGAAAGTCAAAAACTTAAAAGATCAAGGCAGCTTGCCGCGTTTGGGAATGACGATGGCTTTGTTACATTCGGGTGGGATGGTTCTCCTTCGCCAAACATCGGTGATATTTTCCAGGAGTTTGATCACCTTGCTCTCTGGAAGGTTGCGGCACGCGCAGTATTCCGCACGCACTGAAGTGGCTAATTGGAGATAGTGTATGGATGAGGTAGGAAAACCGATTCGAGTGCAGAGGCGCAAATGACTTGAAAACCCCCGAAGTTGTGCTCAGGACGTGGCGGAGAATCGAGAGGGACAAAAAGTCAAATTTGGAGGTTTTACGTGCCAAACCAAGGACTGGCATCTGGCACGCCCCAGCGGAGGACTGAGGATTTATTTTCGACCGCCTGCTGATCTTTCGACGTGCAACCGAAAGCTCGGTTACACGGCGCCTCCTCTGCAATAAGCCTCCGTCAGATTGCGGGCCCTTCGGCCGGGATTCGAACCCGCCACATGGGGATCCGTAGGCCAGCGCTCTCGCCTCGGAGCCACCTAGGCGGCTTCGACAGGGACGTCACAAAGACAGAGCATTATGTGAGTACCGAGCTGTTGTCGCTGTGAAACACGCTACAGACAGCGTAAATGCTCTTGGATTTGTTTCCCCCGAATACGCAAACGGCAGTTCTTTTGACCTCATAGTCTTGTAAATATTAACGTAAAACGCTTTTAGGCTATTTGTTCGGCAATTCATGAGACCTGGGCAAAAGCGTGAACGCGAGGTTGGACACTGATTGGTTAAGTGCTCAACGTTGATTAATTAACGGGGAGGTCATGGGACCAGAGGGGCAGGCGAGAAAGAGTGAGGTAAACTAGGAGGCGCTTGACAACCTGTCAGCGCCGAGGAAGAGGGGATTGCGAGTATGGGAGGCTCTGGAAGATCGCCACGTTTATCAATCCGATTACGATGTATTCGCTTCATTGTGGGAACAACTATCAAGTGTACACCTGGTGCGCGTTAAGCTATCTGATGAAGAGCGCGGTGAACGGAGGCGTCTGACGTCTAAAAACTCAGAGTAGGCTTAAACGTTTGTTATGCAAGAACGCTACACATAACAACACAGTTGCGTAGCCATTTGTCGTAAATTTATTTACAGAGTCTTCTGGCAGCAAAGAAGACGGGGCAATGTGCAGTTTCAGCACGACCATGCTCGCGGTAAAATTATATGGAGATACTCCTTGTTTGTGCGGTCTACCTCATATAAGAATTGATGCCTACCTTTGAAATTCTAATAAAAAATCGAGTGCAATAAAGATATCGCATAACGTGCGTCACAGCGATAGCAGCTCGAAACTTGCGTGAATCGGTATAATTCTGGCACTAATCACGTTTTCGCGTCGACTCTTGAGCTCGATTACGAAGTTTTTCACACAATTTTGGTTTACGCTTTTCATTCCGCTTTAGTTCGTCATAATCACCTTATCTGTGACTTGCATTGTCAGTGCCCTGTGATTAAAATTCGCGTTCTTCGGACCCTCTACGAACTTTCGAGGCCTAGCGATACGGCTTACAAGTTTGTCTGCTCGGGTGGTTGTTCGAATGCACAGGTACAACGGTATTTCGACTACAGTGATCGTGACCACAGCCGAAATCTCATATTCGCAGCGTGTGACAAGACAGTGGGGCCGCTGTGCGCTTCTTAGAAAAGCCATTTTACTTGTACATCGCGCGTAGGATTCGAAGAAGCGCATGCATTGCGTCAGCAATTCCTAATGAATTATGCGTGCATGAGAATCGTGCTAAATAAGCGCCCAAGCCCACAGTCTGCGCTAACTTCTCTTACTCTTGAACAAAATACTGTAAACATAAATTCGCTTCATGCGCTGGAATAAAACAACCGCGATACTTCGATTCTCAGTAGGCTGGGCTCGGTCCAAAAGCGATATATCAATCTGTTAAATTAAGGAGGGAAGTTTACATTTCATGCTGATTTTATCCATTTGTGACACTCGTGTATGTCGCCCTGGAGAAGTTTCCAGACCGTCGCCGATTATCACGCCGAGCTACCGTCGTTGCCGGTTGCAATACTGGGAGATAATCTCATTCAAGCTTCAAGCCTGTACAGCGGATCGTATCACATGATAGGAAAAAGACAGGAACGCTGAACGTAGGTAGGCTTTCGAATATCCCGGTACGACACCTTTACACCGGCGTCAGATCGAGGAACGAGCGTCACATGGGAATGCGGAGGAGGAGACGCCGTGCCTGCACGTAAACTAACGAGAGTTGACGGTTACGCTTGGTGGCTACAAGAGGAGTTGTGCCGAGCAGATAAACAAAATCAATTAGGTCTGAAGTTCTTTTTCCTCTATTCATAGCGCGATCATATGGAAAAAAAAAATTATTAGGGTCTTTGAAAACAGAAAATATAAAGATTTTAAATCGCTGCCTTTTGGGTTTATAGACACTTTTGCAGCGAGCGCGAAGCAACTGGTGTCCTTTTTGGTCGTCATTTACTATCAAGAGGGCTCCACCAACTGTAGCCGGCAAGTGCTGTTAAATACTGTGCAAGAAAAGGCACCAGCTTAAAGGGGTGATTCAGCGACTTCTTGAGCTACCCCAATCGCCTATACTTTCGGAATCATCGGCGTTTACCCTTTGCGGTAGGTTATTTAGAATTGCTAAATTCAGAATAGTTATTGTGAAATCGGAAAGTAAAAATTATGCCAAAGCCAACATTCCAATGTACCCGCTCTTCTCAGTGCCGTGACGTCAGGGGAAGGCAGGCTTGCAGGTCGAGCGGGTAGTCTAAAAATGGACTTTGCCAAACATTTGCTTCGTGCTGCCGTGTCGGTGCTATAGCGAGCTTCCAGAGCATTTATTTGACACCATAAAACTGCCTTTAATCAGTTGGGAACAAGGTCTACAATCCAAAAAGCGAACCCCTGCCTTCCCCTGACGTCACCTGTTTATTGTGTCCTTTAGAGATTATCACTTAGAAAAACGAAGGGAGGATCGAAATTGTAAATTCTAAAATTTCGCAAAATTAATTTTATTGTCTCCCATATTTGAATTTCTATTTTAGAAATGTTTGCTGGTGTGTTTAGAAAATTTTGAGGCCAATCAGCAACTATAGAGGAAGCGCCGGAGTAACCCATTAGAGGTAAGCGACATTAGCTTTACAAAAAAGAAGACGTGAGAGCAAGTGGGGTTCCACTCAAAGAGGCTCGGCGTAGAGGTACGGTGTACAAGATAGTAGAAGTGCGCCCTGCATGAGCACGCGGAGTACGAAACGCTCTCGAGAACCGTGCGCTCGCGCACAACAGTTCAGCCAGATTCTCCTCTATACTCACAAAGCCTGGCATCTCGACGACGGAGCCATAGAGTGCCCGGTTGCAGATTTAGAGCGCGAGCATCTCGTAGCACAGAGCATCAGAGAGTCATTTCTCGGGGAACCCGGACAGCAGCGCACAGCTTTTGCAGCTGCCAGGAGCCCAAACACACTTGTTCGCTCGGGACAAATGTTTTTTGTCGTCTCGCCGCAGCGGGGCGCCAGTCACCCGGCACTCCTCTCATCCGTTGGGTGCCGCTCCACCTTTTCCATTTCGGAGGCCGCTTCTCGTGGCGATCTGCCAGGCCTTGTTAGTATATAGGAGGGTATGCGTCAGCGCACAACACATACCGAGGAAAGGTTTCACGCCACACCCCTTCGAGCAGATTTGCGCTGGGACCTAAAGCCTCTGGATCAAGTATCAGGAACCACTGTTGTGAAAACGTGCAACATACGTGGAACGTGTGTGTGCTCCGCCGCCATTCGCGTAAAAGAGCCGCTCCTTTCAGTGCTGCGCCGCCGCCATTCGACTCCAAGGCCGTTCGGGACACCGGACTCGCGCACTGGCGCATTTGACGCTACTTTATAGATAAACCCAAACGCATCGAGGGGTTTTATTCCACGTTGAAGCGGCGCGCCCTTTTTAGGTGTCGCGCGCTCCCCATAGATGCTGACAAGGTACGAAAGGCTGTGCGTTGATTTCGAACGCTCGTGCTCTATCACAAGCTCGTTGCCTTTTGCCATCTCTGGCGTTGTGTGCCCGCTCTAGGCGCTCAAGACGGTAAAGCAGTTTGGAAGGTCATTCATAGAATCTTGTCTCGTAAATAAGCCCGTTGCACTCGGGCAGGAAAGGTGGAGGGAGAGCGAGCGAGTCCGCAAGTCGCGACCATGTAATGCCGGCTGCACCATCCTCGCTTTATAACCATAAAATCGCCGCCGTGACATTCGGTTACGTCTGAGCTACGTTCGAATACAGGCGTCTGTCAGCATCTGTCTATGCGCGAAATCAAGGCGTCTAAAAAAAAGAAATAATGCAGCTCGCGATTTTAGCAACCCATCAAACATTCCTTTAATCCTTATTATTTGTAATATTTCTTTGAAAGTACTTGTGAGCAAGTACGTTTCACTGTTCGTGATAACGAAGCCGAAGCTACATGCTAAATCATGTTTGCTTGAACGATGCTCGCACCAGCCTCGCACTGTACAGGCGCGCATGCTTGGCAGGGACACTAAAAACTCTAAGCTCGCTTTCGCAGCTTATGCTGTGCTGGCACTTATAATGAAACGGAGTATAAAAACTGTAGTGGGTAAACGACGTAAGGACGGATTTTCAAAACGCTAACCACAAATATTGTATTTTTCTCGCCTGGAGTGCTGCTGAAAACTTGAGAGCTACAGGCCAATAGGTTTGTTGATGAAGTGGTTGACTGTGGACCAATTGATTTAATTCTGTCATCCATAGGTCCCTGGTTAGAATTCTGTTCGACGGACTATAATTTTTGTTATCTCATAAAGTCACCATTGGGGGAAGGGAGCGATCATGAAATTCATACCTTCACTGGTAGTTTTTTTTCGAAGGAAGAGCATGCAATATCCAGGGGACTCCCACTAGCAGCTGTTCTTTGTAGAATGGCTACAGGGTACATGCTCGCTAATATAGCACTTAGGGCGGTTTTGATATTGATCAATCTTGGCTATCTCGAAAGACATGGGTTATCTAATTTAGAACGGTAATTTCACAGGGTTGTGAATTGACCAGCTTATAGCACATTTATGCGGGGACTAAGAATTTTATGTCTTGTATTATTATGTCTGAAGAAATACCGAGAAGCAATCGGAGCTCTTAATTTCAAATTTACTTGTGAAGGTCTTTAAAAAAATTTAAATCTGATGACGCAATATACCTTATCATTTAGAGCCATTCTTGGACTTCTGTGACGCTTCCGGTATTCGTTGTGGAGTTTCAGACATTGCTTTCTAAACTTTGTTTTGTCCTTCAAAAGGCAGAAAATAAAAATACCACAAATTAACGGCTTGGTAAATATTTGAGTAAAATGAGAAATTCGTGCACTTTTAGACATGTAGTCTTGGTCTTGACCGGAACTTTTCAGAGTAACAAATCAAACTTCGTTGCTATATACAAAAGTAAATTCAATATTATTTTAGTAGTTTTAACATTTATATATGAAATTGTGCAGGAAATCCAAGCTAATGAAAACTTGTTTCTCTGATGTGAGATACACCTTATTCAAAATTCTCATTTGTATGAGAAATTTCTGTGTCCAATAAACACACATGAATTATACAAGTTATATCAGAACATATAAGGACAAGATAAGAACTATATAAGAGCTATATAAGATATATAAGAACATACAAGCACCATATAAGAAACTTTGGGGAAGTTTCTTATAATTTTTTATATGGTTCTTATGTGTCTTATATAATTCTTATATACTCCTTATATAGCTCTTATATGGTTCTGATATGTTCTTATACGTTCTTATATATCTTGTATAATGCATATGTGTTTACGGGACACAAGAAATTTCTCATACAAATGACTTTTTTAACTAAGGCCATATTTTTTCCGTACCAGAACAAAATTCTCATATAAAAATACTCACAGACTTCAGCTACAGAACTGAGGTATAAATTATAATTATAAATAATAATCGGAACACATAGTTATTTGCAATTAAGCGCTAATCCTTGCAGTTTTGGTGTGTGTGAGTTATCGACCTCTGCACATACCTTTTCTTTCCGAGTGTGGGCATATTGACCTGCAGAAGTTTATACAAAATAAACATAATAAAGTAAAATTATGATGGAAACATTGCATAAAATCCGGTATTATAAGAAAAATACGAATATTTTTAATATCCAAATACACGCTTTACTAGTGTCAGGCTCATTTGAACTACATCTGTCATTGAGCCTAGTTAATACCAGAAGCCTTTCTTAAAGCGCCACTGGCCATGACCCGTAGGCAAGCAAAAAATTTAGAGTGATACTATTTGAATTATAGATTAAGCAAAGGATAGCAGTCAAAACGCGTGTTTTCTATCGACGCCACCATTTTCCAGCCAAATCACCCAGATGTGACAAGGATAGGTGGCAAGCACAGCCTTCAAATATATAAGCAACCCATTGGACGAGGCAGTGTCAGCCGGCTTTGCCGAATTCACTTTGTTCTGTTCCTTTCTCTCTCTCTTTCTCAAAACGTATATTTGGCCAAAGTTCGCTTAGCACGGATGCATCTGCTGCTTAGACGAATGGGTCTTTTATATTGAGAGATACTGGCATTTTCTGAAAAGGCCTGCAATAGCGTTGTAGGTCGGAACCCAGTTTGTCTTCGCCTGTATCGGTTTATTAGTTTGAAGAAGATAGAGTTGCACTGACCTAACTTTTGAACCTTGGCGGCTGCTTCAATTGATTACACATTTGATCGGTCACATGTGGCTGCTGATTGAACTAGAGGTGTTTTGTTTTAAAAACTTATGCCTATAAATAATATGCTGTTACTTTAGAATGTATAAATATACGAGTACTCATTACAGAGAAGTGGAATTCTTATAAAATAATGGTCCTGGTACTTCTACACGACTGTGCCTGTACAGATGTTTCTAATTCCGCAATCGGCTCTTAACGCCGGAAACACAGAAAACTCCATCGCGCAACTATGATCAAGTAGTCTGATCAATTAAGCGATTATTCTGTAAATAGATATGTCAACAAGTGTTTTGATAAGATTGCCGCATAACCAATAACGTAGTACTTGCCGACGACAGTGTTCAACACAATACACAGAGTGAGCAATAATTTCAGACCAAAGAAATTCATATCGTTCTCTTGCCGTTTGCTGTTATCCATTGAATTCCGGTAGAAAGATTCTGGTGGTATATATAGAGAGGCTAGAAAATGGTGTATTGCGGCGAAAGGCATATTATGCGCGAAGTTGACAGAAAATAAGCATATGCCATTGTGTTGTATAGAACATTACCTTTGCAGCGTATGTTCCGCACGAAATATGTCATCAATCTACATAAGCTTTGTTGACCTATATGTAACATTTCTCTCGGTGAGCTTTTCTTTTAAGAGCCGTTATATCTTAATTCGTTTTATTTTCCGACCTTTTTAACGTAAGTCGAAATCACAAAGGAAGGTTTAAAATGCAAGTTTTCTGCATGTTAAAAAAAAAAAAAAATGTTGAATTTTAATTTTTCTGAACTTGCAGCAAGTATGAGAGTGATATCTGAGGAATCAGCCCGTTAATCTTATTGCCGGGGTTTTCTCTTCTTGGGGTTTCATTTGGAGAAAAATACAGGCGTGTTTGCCAGAGTTTTGTTTTGGCTGAAAGCCCTTGTTTTCCAATCTTTCGTTCTTAGTTTAGGGAATTCAGAGTTTATTGGACGTTTTGCGTCACAGGTTTTAGGAAGAAAACAACATTTGGCGATTTTAGTAATGCTGCCTTTTAAAGAGATGGTGGGTGAAATTTTGACGATGTAAATATTTTGGTTAAGAATAAGCTTAGATATATTTAAATAAGCTCATCTACCTTAATAAGACCTCTCTTCAGAGAAATTCGCCCAGAAAGACATTCATTTGTGATATTTAGAAGAAACGAAAGGAAAATCGAAAATAAATTACCAGCAATCTGTATCTTTAAAGCCCTGCAGTGCGTGGAGTTCAGTGTTTAAGAAGTGATGGTATAAATGTTTCGAGAAGACTTTGAACATTTGTTTTACTGCGTGAAGTTTATAGATTTTCTTTTTAATTTCGCCACTACAGTTAGCAGGAGAATCTACTTCAAGTGAACGGATGTCCAGTGACGTCATAGTATCCCGTTATGACACAGTTTGACATCATGACGTCACGTCACGTGACCTGACTCCCCCGGTGTGGTCACGTGAGCTGAAATTAGGCGACGTCGCTACGTGGTGCAACATCACGCTGTTAAGTAGTGCTGTCACGTGATACCCACACGTCACGCCACACCTATTTCTTAATTTAACATGGCGGGTTAATGCATAAACGGATCGACGGCCAAACTGCTCGAAATATAAAGTTGCGTTAAACAATATTGCAGACTTTAAAAATAAAATTACAATGGTTTTCCAGGATTTCAATAAAATATAGACATTTCATCTTCTATTTGTGAGTGTTAGGACGGTTTCTGAATCGCGTCTCTAAGTGGTGTGTTTAGAGTCCTATCCCTATATGCATTGAAGATGGTCCGAAAGTAGGAGCAAGTCACGTCACAAAAGCCGGAGTGCCATGTTATCGGATATCTCTATCCTAATGGTTGGTCGTAGAACTTCTGGCAAAAAGCACGCGCAAACGCGAGTGTCGCTGTCATCGCAGCGTTCCATCTTCTGAGAGCCAAAGCTTCCCTGGACTGTCGTACAGGAGAACGACCTGCAGCAGAACAGGTGACATTCACAACCACCATCGCTGCTGTGACTCCGCCAGGATCGCGGCGGCCTCAGCATGACATTTCTATAAGTTCACAAGACGGAAATCGAGGCACCATTTTTTTTTTGGACGCGTTAAACACACCTGTTGGAGAGGCGTTCCAGCCACCTTACACTTTAAGAAAAAAAGTGTGTAGTCGGGTGCATGAGCCGCACATCCACCCTTTTCCTGAAAGATGCACCCTCCGTTACATGGCCAGTGTACTTGGACACCGACAATGAGCATCCTCCTCTCCCTTAAAAACCTCTAGGTGTATCAATGCACCGCCTCGCTAGCTACGCGCCCCGATGAGCTTGTGCTTGGATTCTCTTTTGGGGGTCACTTTTTGGGTTGGGCAGTTTCTTAGGAAGTATGGAGCTATGGTGTTCACTCGGTATTGACAGTAGAGTGGACGCTATGCTTGTTTCAGGCCAGTCGGGTTTCCGGGTAGGACCACGTGACTACATTCTTCAAGCTAGAGATAAGGCAGAGCACGGCACCTGCCTGAAAACCAGTGCCACGAATAGCATCCACTGCACTGTTAAATTTGAGTCGAACGTTCAAGCGGATACAAGTGACAAATACTCTCGTTGTGTTCATTGTTGGGTTGCCCGTGAAGATGAACCTTCGCGAGGGCTCACCCCCCCCCCCCCCCTTTGTCCTTGAAGGAGCTGCTAGCTCCCTCTCCACTCTTTTTCTTTCTCTACCTAAACTGAAAGCGTGGAAGTAGATGAGCAGTCGCCGGACCGATGAACCGGAGGCTTTTTCATCCCTCGACTCCGCTGTCTGTCCGCAGGCAACGACAGGAGCCAGAGCATGTGGTAAAGGTTTCACGGATGACGTAGTAGATTTTTTCCGATCTCGGAATGTCTGCTTCCCAGCCTAGTTGTTTGTGTGCTGTGCTCCGACTATAGGGGCTGCCCTACGTTTCGTCCACGACAACGTATTCTAGTGTACCAAGGTTTCCAGTGTTTGAAAAGTCCTACGCGTATTTCGGCAACAAGCGATTTCTTTAAAAAAAACTCAAGGAATTCATGTGATGTGTTGAGTGTTCGGTTCGGCAAACTACTGCTTCTGCCACATCGTGTTGAATCTTCACGGATCCCTTTCTTTTCGTTTTCGTGTTCGTGTGGTTCTGCAGTGGCCGTGTCGACATATATCTCGGATTACATATTTCAAGTCCGGTATTTTCATCGTAAGTGCACTGCAACCTACATCTTCGCAAAAATTGACCGTTTCGTTCCGGATTACCTCTAAAATTAGGCAGTGTCTCTTTTCTAGCAGCCGGTAAAATAATTTTTCCGAAATTCTATCGGCAGTCGACTGCCATTAGCTGTCTACAATCTTGTGACAACTGCAGGTAGATTACTGACTTTCTTATTCACCGGGCGCTTTGTGAAAACACGTTTTCGTTGATACATGTTTCGTCGACACTAACGTTTCTTCATCACTCTTTACGCGAAATGCATGCTGTAGGGACATTTTGTCGTGCGTTTATTTGAAGCGCGTGCTCACAGATTCAACCCACCCGTGAAAGAAATACTGTATGAAGGGGAGGGGGCAGAGGAGGTCCCAGCAAAATGGAAGATTTCAGGGGGGGGGGGGGGGGGAGCCGTGGAAAAAAGTTGCAATATGCAGCTTGACTCATCCATCCCTCATCCTGACTCAGGTACGTAGCCCCCCCCCCCCCCCCCCCCCCCCCCCGCCCCCGGGCTACGTGCCTGAGTCAGGATGAGGGATGGATGAGTCAAGCTGCATATTGCAGCTTTTTTCCACGGGTCCCACCACCACAGTCGATGGAAATAAAAAAAACATATTATTATTGTTATTATTATTATTATTAATGTTAATAATAATAATAATAATAATAATGATAATAATAATAATAATAATAATTTTATTGTCAACGTTCAGGTACAAATCTGTATACGGGCCCGTCAAAGCCACGATGGCCTGTGCGACAGGGCCCTGCAAGAAGCCAAGTGCGAGCGAATAAAAAAGAGCTGGAAATATAATCAACAAAAGGTAGTATACGTACACACAGACACCAACTCAACTCAACTGCACTAAAGGCTGATATATATATTAATATATAATATAATAATAATAGTATATATTAGTATATATACTAATACGAAATATACGAAAGTATATATGAAAAATATGGAACTGGAAATAGAGACAGAGTTCCTTCGGGTATATGTTGTCCGCGGCGTCGGACGCAGGACGTAAGTGTATAGTAATGAATGGATACTTAATAAACAAGAATTCACTAATTAACTTCGTGCTTTTCGCTTTAGCTAGCATGTTCAATTATATATTTACAGACCATTGATTACTGATGCTAAAGCAGCTGAGAAATCTAAGGAAAAATTCTACACAAAGTTATGGCGCGGAGAATCTTGACAATCACGGCATCTGGAAATCTGTCCATAGCGGAGGACAAGCGGATGTAGTCTAGTTTGATGTGAGAAAAGCTTTTGACAAAGTTGATCACCGACTACTGTTGAGTAAACTCTATAGTTACGGTCTGCCCCTTAAGTACCGTCGTCTCCTCGATAGTTACTTATCTCATTGGCTGAAATTTGTGCGATTATTCAGCCGATAATCTGCTTCTTTTTTTATCTACTTCTGGGGTTCCTTGAGGCAGTAACCTCGGCCCTTTGCTGTTTTTATGTTTTGTAAATGATCTAGTTTCTTGTATTAAACACACGCGGTTTTTGTTATTTGCTGATTATATGAAGTTGTTTACAGCGGTTAAAACGGTTGACGATTGTGAATGTCTTCAGCGCAATATAGATCCTATTTCGGCGTGGTGTTTTTCAAATGACCGACTCTTACATGAGTCAGAGACGAAAGTTATGGCCTTTTCTAGAAAACGTGAAATTCTGAGTTTTCCCCATGTATTAGATTCCACCAATATTACTCGCGTTGAGGTCATCCGTGATCTAGGCGTTTTTATGAATCCTGCAATTAATTTCAATCATCACGTGACTACAATTACGAATGCTTTCTTTAGAGTGCTGGGAGCCATTACACGAGTGACAAGCAATTTTTCTAAACCACTTTGTATTTTACGTTTGTTTTCTTCACTGGTGCGTAGTCGTGTTGAATATGCCTCAGTTCTCTGGAACTGTATTGGAGTGAAAAATTCAGGTGTAATTGACAGTGTTCAACGTAGGTTCGTTCGTGTTTTGTTTGATTGTTATTTTCAACCGAATTATTTCTATAGATATGAGAGGATTGGTGAAATCGTGAAGTTAGACTCTTTGCATACCAGGAGAACAATTCGTGAACTGACATATTTGTATAAGATTGTAAATGGTATAATTGATTTCCCAGAGCTACTTAATCGCATCTACTTGCACGTTCCTCGTCAGTCTTGTAGA